CCTGGCCTTTGAGACCTCCTAGGACCCACATGGGGGCCAGCCTTCCTCTCCTCCCAACCTGAGCCACTCAGTTGAAGGGTGCCAACTTCTCCAACCTCCTTTCTCAGTCTGGGCGGCTGAAGCCTGGGAAGGGTGGGGTAGAGTAGTGGGACACTGTGGTCTGGCTACACAGGAAAGGGGACTCCTATCCTTACAGAACGATGTAGAAAAGGTGGTGGTGGTGATTTTGGATAAAGAGCATCGACCGGTGGAGAAGTTCGTCTTTGAGATCACGCAGCCTCCCTTGCTGTCTATCAGGTGAGCTGGCCCGCGCTGTCAGCTGGCTGCTGTGTGTTCCCTAGCAGCGACCCCTGATGCTAGAAAGCCCTAATTTTAAGGCAGCCGCTGACACCCAGTGAAGGTCTGGGAGGAGAGGGGACCAGCTGTGCCATTAGTGGCTGAGCTCCCGCGGGCTGTGCTTTTGCAGAGACACACGGTGATACAGATCTCTCCTGGGCACAGCGAAGCACTGTGGCTTTGGTGAATACCAGCCCAGCCTCACGTTATATACATGGAGAAGCCACAGCCCAGAGGAATGATGTGCCAGCCACCCAGCATCACCCCAGTGGTGGCAGAGCAGGGCACAGGTGTCCAGTCCATGGTATAGGGAGCCCTTCCCAGTCCTCACTGTGGTCTTGGAAGTTTCTATTTGTAATCTCTTGGAAAAATTCCTGGAATCCTATTGAGATATTCTGATCTGCCTCTCCCAGCACAACCCATGGCACAAATAAAGACACAGTAATAGATGTATTCATTTGGAACTCCTCCTGTCTCTCAGGAGCTATTCTGTTCCCATTCCTCATTCCCCTTCTCCAATAAATTTTCCTGCTTAATCTCCAAATACTACTACTACTAATATCCAAAATGGTCAGGAATCAAGAGGGTTTTGAGTCTGGCTACAATGATGGCTAACTGGAACAAAGGCCTCAGCTCAGGACCAAACCTGAATTTTATTAACTTGTGAAGAAAGGAGTGGTTGGAGGATGAGTGACTGTGGGAATGGTGGGAAGTCTGTGAGTGCCATGAACTGGGCTGGGTAGGAGGCTCTCCAGCCAACTTGGTCCCCACCTGTTTTATTTGGGAGCCGGGATACCTCTGCTGGACCAGTTTGCATTGCTTAAAACCAATTGAAAGGATAAGGAAAAGTCCTAGCCAGGTCTGTACATATCAGTACACAGAAATAGGGCCTGGTTTAGCTAAAATGGAGATAATTGCTCTTCTTTCAAGAAGAGTCCTCCAGGTGGTCCTTCACCAGAAGTTGACCCATGCATGCCGGTTAGCTGTGTACTTCCTGTGAGGTCAGGGCACTGGAATCTGGCATCAATCTGTTCCGCTGGCTGTGTGGCCTCCTGGTATGTGACAAGCCTTGGCTGTGTCCTTCTATTTACTAGCTGTGCACAGAACCTCCTAGGCCCGCTGTGCCTGCCTTCGTTGTGCATCTGGGCTGGGCTAGCCAGCATTTCAGAGGCACTGCAGGGCTGTAAGTCCAGGTCAGCTTCAGCAGGGTGGGGATGCCTGGTGGTGGTCAGGGGCACCTGTGAGAAGAAGACCTATTTCTTGTCCCCAGCTCTGACTCTTTGCTCTCCCACGTGGAACAGCTGCTCCGAGCCTTCATCCTGAAGATCAGTGTGTGTGATGCTGTCCTGGACCACAATCCCCCAGGTGTGCCCACTTCCTTTCCCCATGGTCACCTTGGGCTGTGCCAAGTTAGTGTCTCCCTTCCTGCCCCTTAGAACCGTGCACTCTAGCCGCTGCACTGTGGGGCTGCCAAGGCAGCGAGGGTAGGGGAGGAGGCCAGCCTAGTGCAGGCCTAGGGCAGCCTGGCCTTGATTGACCCCACTCCTGCCTCTCCAGGCTGCACCTTCACTGTCCTGGTGCATACAAGAGAAGCTGCCACTCGAAACATGGAGAAGATTCAGGTCATCAAGGTAAGATGAGATTGTTCTTGGAGTGGCCAGAGAAATAGCTGGGGGCCACAGTTCCAGGTAGGCAGGGTGTTACCTGTGGCCAGTGCTCACGTGTGCTTATGGTAGTGCCTAGTGTTCAGCAGCTTCTGGGGGTCGTCCACATGGGCACATACTGATTAGTGCTCTCCCTGGCTACCCAGAGCTGTGAGGACCCCAAGTGGAGTGATGTGTGGGCCGCCAGGTCATCCTGGCTCTTCCCAAGTGGGGTTCTCCAGGTTGGGGTCCTTGCCTGCTTGTTTCTGGACTGGTGACAGGGGCTGTTACCTCATTTAGGCTCCTGGCCACTGGTGGAGAAGCCTGTGAATCTGTGTTGCAGGCAGCTCCCAGGGGGCTCCGAGGGCCCCAGATCTGGAGGGCAGGGACAGCCAAGCAAACCCTCCAATGGTCCCCTCCCTAGGACTTCCCGTGGATCCTGGCAGATGAGCAGGACGTCCACATGCATGACCCCAGGCTGATACCCCTAAAAACCATGACGTCAGACATCTTAAAGGTGAGCTGCAGGGGACCAAAGATGCTTTATTTAAGAGGAGCCCAGAGCTGGGGACTGGCCTGAAGGCTTGCCATTCAAGGCTTGGGGGACAGGGCTAGGCATGTCTAGAGAGGCTCCTCCCAACCAGGCTGTGCCCACCTTTGGCAGCAGTCTGGCTGCCAGGAGCCCTGGCTGGTCCCCCTTACTGTGGCACTTTCTTGCTGTTAGATGCAGCTCTATGTGGAAGAGCGAGCTCATAAAAGCAGCTGAGGAGGAGCCTGCACGTGCCAGTGATGCCACAACTGTCAGACTGGGGACCCAGCTGCGGAAAGCGCCGCGGGTCCCACCTCCAAGTGCTCTTACAGTTCCTTGCAGGCGCCTAACCTCCAGCCGGGGCTACTTAGGTCTGCTTGGTTCCATGGAGGAGGCATCCCCAGGAAGGCAGTGAGGGACGTTGGTACCTTAGTTTTCCATATCTCGGGGTTTAGCAGGGTAACACTGTCTCAAATACTGTTAGTTGTTTCAATAAAGTGCCCCAATGGCTGACTGGGGTGTCCCTCTCCAGAGTGAAAGGGACAGGTGCAGCCAGATGAACCTGGGAAGGCTGCTTCTCTAGCACAGTGCCCCCTACACACCCAACCCCAGGCTGGTTTCACTGAAAACATTTATTGTGACAAAATGCCAGGGTGACCTTAAGCTTTTAGCATCTGGTGGGAGCTCACTGCCCCTGCTGCTGGCCCAGCTCTCACCTGGAGGGACCGCTAGCTGGCCTGGATAGAGGACGGATGAATGGCAGTCAGGTGACTGTCATCGGGTTGGTGAAGACAGGTGGGTGGATGGCTGGGCAGCTTCCTCAGCCCCTACACTGTCAGACAGAGCGGTGGACGGGGCCAGTTTCCTGGTCATCTTGTTGCTAATAATGATGCTGCTGTTGGTGACACGGGGCCCATACCAGCCTGCCCAGAACTGGGTATCTTGGCCCCCATGCTGGAAGAAGATGTGGCGGACGCCTGGAGGGTAGTCCGAGAAGGTGTGGGAGACCTGGGGGGAGGCGGAGAGGTGACCATCAGGATTGCAGGGGAGGAGCCCCAGGCCAGGAAAGGCTGGCAGCAGGCAGGCGGGTGGTCCTACCTCTGTCCACGAGGCATCGTTCCATTGCTCAATAGTCACAGGCTGGGGCTCGAAGGAGGCCAGAGTGATGTAGTCGGCGGAGACCAGATGGACCCGGATCTGGTAGGTGCAGCCACAGTCTCTTCTGGCAGCGAACCTGGGGGAGGTGGCCAGAGCTGTGTGCTGAGCCCCCAGGCTAGCCCTGGGGAGCTTGCTGCCTCTGCTGACACTGGTCTGCCAGGGCCAGCTGGTTTCAGTGCCCTCTCTGCCCCCCACAGCCCAGGGAAGGCAATTCTACTGAACGGGTGACTGAAGAGCACAAGGCCATGTGACCTGTGCATGGCAGTGGGTGGGCCTTTCAAGGTGGAGATCTTGGGGGTGGTGCACAGAGCTTGGTCCTGTTCTCTGCCCCTCAAGCTTCACCCCCTTTCTCTTGAGTGCTGCCTAGGCACTGAGGTCCAGAGCCTCACAGCTGGTTCTGTGCCCAGGGTAGGGTTTTGAGAAAGCTGTGAGCTAGGGGGTGGCTCTGGTAGAGTGGGTGCTTTGTACAATCAGGACCCTGGGTTCTGGGTTCAGTCTCCATGACTGCAAAGCAAAACATGCAAGAAGGCACCCAAGATTGCTTGAAGTCCAGAGAGGCCCAGGGTACTCTGTTCCTGCTAGGCCTCAGTTTCCCCATCTTCAGGCTGGGTGCCTTGGAGAGGGAGATTGGGGCTGGTCTCCCCAGCTCTAGGGCAGGCTGAGCAGCATGGGCACTTGCTGTGAGTTCTGAGCCAGCAGCTATAGCGAGAAGGGCAGGATGGGATGTGGGGGTGGGGGTGCTCACCAGTCCTTCACCTCGATGTCGGGCCGGTACGTGTCCAGCAGCTCGTCCCAGTAGCCCTTGGCCTTGAGATTCACCAGCTGGGACTTGAGGCATAGGCTGGGGGGTGGGGTGAGGGTCGGGCTGTGTTGCAACAGAGCTGCACAGGGCCCTCCCTTAGGGCTCTGGCAGCCTCCAAGGGCCCAGGGAGGTCAAAGGTCCTGGGGCACCGCCTGAGGACCCACAGGACAGATGGGTCCCATCCAGGCTCCGCTGCAGCTCTTCATCCTAGACTGGGGATGCCTGGGATACACTGTGACTTACCAGTCCCAGCTGCTTGAAATTCACCTCTTCTTGGAAGCTGGTGACCCTGCTTGTGTCGGGAGCTGCCACCCTTGAGCTTGCAGAGACCCTTGCCCCTCCCTCAGCACAAGCCTGTGTGGCTCAGGCCCCCTTACCTGTGGGATGTGACAAAGTACTTCTTGACTTTGGGGTCCGGAAAGTTGGTACCATGTGCTCCAGGAACACTCTCCACCTTCCACTGGTCCCCCTCATTGGCGTCAAGTTTCCACGATTTCATGCCCTCTATAAAAAGCGGGAGGCAGGGTGAGAGGTGAGATCCCCTCCATCAATGCTTTTCTTTGTGGTGCTGGGGATTGAACACAGGGCCTCACACGCTGGGCAGTGCAGCACCACTGAGCTGAACCCCAGCCACTATGGAAATCTGCCGTCCTGACCTGGGAGGAAGGGGTGCTGCTCCCATCCCCTGGAGGTGGGGCTTGCTGTGCTCTGCTTTGTGGAGCTGCAGGCACCAAGGCCCATCAGCTCCTTCCTGCTGATCGAAGGGTACTGCACAGCCAAGGCCAGCACCCTGCTTGCCCAGGGGCCTTGGGGCTCTCCTACACTCCCCTCCCCAAGGCTCTGGCCTGGTATCCCTCCCACTCTGTCCCCAGCTGACTTGCCTCCCCAAGTGGGTATGGAATCCACAGAAATGCTAACCCAACGCTTTCCTCACATCCCTGTTGCTGTGGGGCTCTAATACCCGCGTTCTTAAGCCTAACAGACGACCTTTGCCAGTGCTGCCCCGAAGGCTGGTGGGACTTCCAACCACAGGACAAGACCTTAGGGGATGGGAGAGAGGCCTGCCCTGCAGGTTTGTCAGTGCATGGGGATGGGGGAGGCTGCTGTTCAGACAATTTCTTCCCTGTGCCTAGGGCAAGGGTACCAGGGTGGCACAGGCATCAAGAAGGGCCCATGTCCACAGAAAGACATCTGTCAGATGCCCCCCCTTAAAGCTCCAAGGACTTAGGAAGGCTGCCAAGGCTGTCCAAAACCACTACACAGAGACCTGTTCAAAACTGCTCATTGCTCTCCTCACTGCTGAGGGATTCTGGACACAGTAGCCTGAGAGCCTGGCTTGGCCATAGCTGGCTGTGGGCCCAGCACCAGGCCGGTGCAGACTGCTGGCACTGGAGGTGGCCTGGCTGGGCTGCTTCAGAACAGAATCTTGGACAGGCAGGGAGATCATGTCTGGTGTTATGTGTGGGGCCTCTTGCTTCATCAGCCTGGCTCAGACCTCAAAGGTGGCAGTCAGGATCTCTAGGCAAGCCATGCATCTTGGGGACCAACGCACCCCACCTAGCAAATGGAGCACACCCTAACTGGCTGGCTGGCTCTTGGGATCCTAGGGAGGCTGAGAAGAAAACCATGATGCAAGGGCGCTGAGTACACAGACAAGACTCTCCATGGTAGCTGCATCTGCAAGGAGCACAGGTGCCAGACACAGGAGGTGCTGAAGAAGCGAGGGTGGGTGGCAGGCACTAGAGGTCAGAGCAAAACAGACAGCGTGGGAACAGCATGTGCAAGGCCTCGAGGTCGAGAAGGAAAGGAGCAGCTACAGCAGCACCCGCTCCAGCTCCCGCTCCCATTCCCACTCCAACCCACCTTCAGCGCAGGGGTTTTGCAGGAGGTTCCTGCGGAGGCTGCACAGGAAGTAGAAGACCTTCCAGTTGGCCACAGGCTGGTCCCAGTGCTCGGTGATGAAGCCCTCGCGCAGGCACTTGCGCTTCCAGAGGGTCATGAGGTCAATAAGGTCCCGCCAGAGGCTGCAGACAGGGCGACATCGCCGCAGCAGGTGGCAGGCGGGCAGGAGTGTGAAGAGCTCCAGCAGGATGTTCTCCGGCAGCTCGTTGATGCTAACCAGGGCCATGGTGGGGTGGAGTGCACAGGCTTGTGTGGGGACAGTGATGGCAAGCCTTGGGCGGGAGGGTGGCTTTGCAGGTCCCCAAGAGATGACTCCTCTACTCCTGTGTCCCTGTTGTGAGGTTGAGGCGATGGAGGGGTGTCTCTGGAGAGCCTTTTGATATGTAGGTGTGGTCTGAAGCTGTACACATTCAGAAGAGCGCAATAAAATATTAAAAGTCAGGGGCCGGGGAGATGGCTCAGTAGGATAAGCGCTTGACTGGCAAACGCAAGGATCTGAG